AAGTTCTAAGTTCTAAGTTCTAAGTTCAAGTTCAAGATCAAGTTCTAAGTTCAAGTTCAAGTTCTAAGTTCAAGTTCAAGTTCTAAATTCATGTTCAAGTTCAAATTTTAAGTTAAAGTTCTAAGTTTAAGTTCAAGTTCAAGTTCTAAGTTCAAGTTCAAATTCTAATTTCAAGTTCAAATTCTAAGTTCAAGTTCAAGTTCTAAGTTCAAGTTCAAATTCTAATTTCAAGTTCAAATTCTAAGTTCAAGTTCAAGTTCTAAGTTCAAGTTCAAATTCTAATTTCAAGTTCAAATTCTAAGTTCAAGTTCAAGTTCTAAGTTCAAGTTCAAATTCTAATTTCAAGTTCAAATTCTAAGTTCAAGTTCAAGTTCTAAGTTCAAGTTCACGTTCAAGTTCTAAGTTCACGTTCAAATTCTAAGTTCAACTTCAAATTCTAATTAAGTTCATGACATTCAAACATTCATCATCTACTCATAACACTTCAATTACTAATTTCTAACTTCAAATTATTAACACTTCACTAATTAGTCCTAAAATCAAATCCAAAAAAATCTCAATTTAACCTCAAATTACATATTCTCAAGTTTAAACTAGTTCTAAAATATAAAAATGCTAATTCTTCACTAACTAACAATGCCCAATTTTAAAATGCCCAATTTTTTTTTAAAAGCCCTAAAATAAAAATCTTCAATTATTTGTACCTAACTAACAATAATCAAATCAAATTAACAATTGAATAACACAACCCAACAAACGAAAACAATAATATACTAACAAACAATCAATTATAATCACTAGAATTGAAAAAAAAAAAAAACTAAAATGTAACCCTACCTGCTGCAGCGACGGCGACGGGCCAGCGATGGCGACAGGCAAGGGCAGCGACGGGGAAGGGTGGCGACAGCGACGGCAACGGGAGCAAGGGAGACCGATATATATAGAGAGAGAGAGAAGGGAGAGAATAATAGTGAAGAGAGAGAGAGAGGAAAATAAGAATATGGCAATTTGTCTTTTAGATATTTAATAAAAAGCGACGGACAGCGTCTCTAAGTCTGTCGCTTTTTTAAAATATAGTCGACCAACATTTTGACCAAAAAGCGACGGACTAAGAGACACTGTCCGTCGCTTTTTAAAATAGTTGACTAAATATTTTGACCAAAAAGCGATGGACTAAGAGATGTCGTCTCTCGCTTTTTTAAAAACTAATTAATAAAATAAAATAAATTAAAAACGACGGACAACGTGGTTAATTTTTTATTTATATATAATTATTTTTAATAAAAAGCGACGGACGACGTCTCTATATATATTAAATAAATAATTATTAATTATATATATTTAGCGCAAAAATTCGCGAAAAAAGCGAAGGACTAAGACATGCCTTCCGTCGCTTTTTGTAAAATAATTTAAAAAATAATTTTTTTATTAAAAAGTGACGGGCAGTGTGGCAAAAGGCGTTGCTTTTTGGAGCGACGCCGTCCGTCGCTTTTCTGTCCGTCGTTTTTAAGCAGTTTTTTAGTAGTGTGCTACTTTTAAACTCTTTGTTCTATTATCTTGTTTGATGTATGCTAAATGACTTGTGTAGGGCCTCTCGGAGTTTTATACGTCATGTCACACCTAGGATGTACTTTGGATCGTGAAAAAAAATTGGGTCAAAATATGATGCGGGACTCGTGCGGGAATCACAAAAATGAATCAGCCACAAGGTCTCAACAAGTTTAAGGAACTTGTGCCACGAAAATGGGCACAATCTGAGCACCTGAAGAACCTCAAACAATTCTACCATTTTTAAATCTCAAGGATGATCAAAAATAGAAATTAAGAGAGGAGTTGACTAAAACTTTTAAGTTTAACGGAGGAATTATCGACCCAAGACGCCCCATGCAATCCCCCGACAAAACACAATAATTAGCTCTCCAAATCACATTAAAGACTTAGTTCTTTTAAGAAATACATGCTGAAAATAGGCTGATATAAGATAAATGAGAGACATTTTCTCTCACCGAATGCGGAGCTTGTCCGTGAATGCAACGGTCAAGTCAACTGACCCTTCGCAAACACGACATCCTACCCAAAAATGCGGAGAGCAGAGTCAGCATACTCCACAAATGTGGAGTTCATCCCGCGAATGCGAAAGCACAACATCCAGACGTCTGTAAATGCGAACAAGGTCTGTCAACGTGGAGAAAAGCCTCAAGCACCTCAGCAAATGCAACACAAGGCCCGTGAATGTGGAGAACAAAAAGGTGTTGCACCGGCAGTGTTGTATCAACATAATTCCAAGTTAAGAAAGTGCCCCGACGGGGGTGCAAAATTTGTTAGGAACCCCGTTAACAAAAATAAACTATGCTACCCCACCAAAAATAATAATTTGGACCGGATGAAATTGATGAAACCACCAACAGAGGTAGTCTTGTAAGAATGTTGACCCAAGTCAACACTTACAAGGCAACACACAACAAAATGACAAGTGGTACAAAATCACCCCAATCACCTCGGAATATTAACCAAAGGTTAGCCTAGACCAAACTCAATATTCTGAAGTTAACCGTGCTAATGAGTTCACATCCGAGTATGTTTACCAAGAATGTTGATAGAAGTAAAAACTTAGCCAATCTTTCTCAATTATCTCGTCTAATGGCTCAAACTCATGCGGAAGGCCTTGGGAACCAAAGAAACAATCCTTCTTGACCAAAAAAGACCATTTGCAGCTAATAGAATTGATAGAAATCTCATCTGACAATAGATTCTATGAATATTGAATAAAGTTAATTTTTTTTCTTTAAAACCTCCAAAAGAGTAAAACTCGCACCAAACTCTCCTAACCACATCAGAAAGTGTGCCACCCAGCCTAGAACAACACAAAAGCTATAAGAAAGCTATGAGAAGGGGAAAAAAATAGTAAAAGCACATAAAATATGCAAATGACCACGAGGTTCATACATAGTGGTAATGATAACTATCATGTTGACGAGTGACTCAAGTCCGAGGTGAGGTTCCAATGAGCGATAACATATATTTAAAAGATCGCGTACTACACTACTACGGTAAATGGAAGAAGCTGGCCCCCTGCATGTCATGATATTGGTCAAACATAAAACTCTTCAGCGTGTGTGTACAGGCAAAATAAATGTGATTCTTGCGTGGATGTGGTATACTGGTGATATGTTTGTCAGTATTTATATGCATTATCATTTATGTTGTGAGAGGTTGTTGCAGTTGTAGAGGCTGGTATAATCTCTTGTGTTGATTTATGATGTATGTATTCTAAATCGATTTTGTGTGGCGAATGTAGTAGATTTTGTAAGAGATTATGTTGTGATATTTATTTGGGACTTGTATAAATTTGTTGGCTGTTATGGGAATACTATAAATTATCATAATAATTGTAGAATGGTAGTTGTGTACATGGTGATATTATATTAGTTATATTTGTTTGTTAGATTATCTTAATATTTCTATTTATTGAATATACTCGATGGGTTAATGCGGAAATTGTGTCACTAAGACCATAGTCTAGGGGATGGTGGATTGCAAAATTAGAAAGCTTAGCAAATTTGGTGGGTTGATTAGTTAATGTGGATAGATTAAAGTTTTTTTCCTGACATTGGAGTATTGAAGGTGAATAAGGGTGTTAGTAATGGTATCAAATAATTCATGTTGTTCTTGTAATTTCTATTTTATGTTGCATGATCTAACCCTAGTCGACCAATGATGAATACTAGAAAGTGTGGTATACTTTTACTACTATTGCTATATCTTTTCTAGGATATAGATGTGTTGTAGGTTGACTTGAGGTCTCATATGTGGATCGCGCGTATTCATCATCAACTTCTGCACTTGACTTTTCATCAAAAGTTATGTATTTTCTTGTCTTACTCTATTTAGAAGATCATGTACATGCCTAGTCTAGATCGTGAGAGATGGATTCTTTATGTAAGGTAGTACATTAAGATGTATTTTGTCACATTAATTTTGGTATGAAAATGTATATGCTTAATATTTTAAAAGATTATATGTTGATTTTCTGGATATACTTGGTTAGACGGTAAGGATTCTCCTATCTAATTAAGAATATAGTAAGTTCCTACATGATATGTAATTTGGATCGTGACACAATTTTATTCAACTTTAAGTATAACTCTAATTTTTTTCAAACTTATTTTTCTAATCAACTTGAATAATTACTCAATATTTACTTAGCCTTCTAAAATATTATTTTTTCCAAATAAAGTTGGCTAAAATCACCTCATTCTTAAAATGAAATACTATTTAAAACTAAAAATGCTCAAATAATTCAAATAAATTATCGACTCATAGTGATTTATTCAATCTTGAACATGATTTAGGCACACTAGTAGTTTACATTATTAGAGATAAAGTTAAACACACATACAAAGAGAATTATAAGAACATAATGTTTATATTTTAGTTTATAATCAATAGTTGATAGCAGCCATTTGTTGAACGTTGATGGGGTAGCAATCAGAAGGGGGTCCATAGTATGCCCTTTGTGCCAAGATTGCATCCACGGCTTGTGTCGGATGAAATGCATCCCAGAATATATACTTACTCCTGTCTAGACATGGAAATTGATAGGGTAGACATGTTATTTGTCCCTGGTTTCTCCCCACTCCACAACATGCTCTGTCCCATACGTTAAATCCTGTCATATATATAGTGTAAATGTTAAAATTTAATGATAATTTCATTTTTGATCATGTAAAAGGAGTGTTTATATTACCATATCTGGCAGGGTTGTTCAAGATATCACCAATAGCAGCATATGTATTGCCATAAACAAAAACTGCTCCAGGGTGAGTGCCGTTGTTCATTATGCTGACGAGTGATTTGAGACCCTCATTGAAACTACCAAGTATCTGATTTACATAATCAACACATCTTCCTGGGGGTGCTTGTCCTGTGGCTAACTGATTGGGAATGCATCCAAGTGGTCCTACTCCAGCTACCAAGAACTTCCTCAGTCCTACACTATACAATGCCTGCATAGACAAGTCACAAGTATTTTTTGGAAAGACATTTATTAAGGTTATGCTCTGATTTTCTTATTTTATTTTAAGTTTATTTTTTCGAAAAGAAAAGACAAAACAATATCATAAATGTTTTTACTTTTTCTGAAAGGAAAATATAATTTTTATTCATATTTGGGTTATTCCTTCCTTAGAGGAAATGTTTGGAATCCTATTCATTAATACCCCTCCTCTTATATCAAAAACACAAGAACATCCACAATATTGCCGTTAAGAGACTTCGGTTGTTTTTATGCTTAATATTAGTTTTTAATTATCTTGGTCAAACTATATAATAATACTTTAATTTTTAATATAAGGTTTTGTAATTCAATTTATCACTATATGATTTGTAATTATAAGCTTCCGCATGATGCCCTAATCACTTTCGAACCCAACAAAGTTAACTTATATTGGGAATGAAATTTAAAGAACTATCTAGGTATCATATTAATCACAGCTTACCACAAGTTGTCTAGCATAATGATTGAGAAGGAGGTTGGAAAACTGTTGCGGATTATAGTTGATACTGGACGTATAAAGGGAAGGCAAGAGATAGTTGTTTATGTAGTCATTGCTTCCAAACACCATCACTGCTATTGATTTTGAGAGATATGTGTTTAAATCACCAGGACTCATCATCGTCCTTAATTGACTTAATGTGCTCTCAAAATTTATCACTTGTTGGCTCAACGTGAACCTTTCCATCTGTATATAAATATATGAACATATTTATCATTTCTATTGATATTTCACAAGTGAAGAGGAACGACAGAAGCGCATCTATATATAAATAATAGTATTACATAGTGTTTGCCAGTTTCATCTAGGATGCCACCAGCAGCAGATGCATAGTTTACTCCCCCGAGGATTCTTTCCCCTCTTGTGCTTGGATTTGCAAATGGTGGAGGAGAAGCCACTCCTAATAATTCTCCTGCAATTTTACCATTACATTACATAGATATAACTATATTGATTTTTTTAAGTATGAGTGCAAATATTTCAAAGAAAAATTACCAAGAATATCCACAAAAGTTTTTCCATTGGAAAATCTGCCGGTAGGGCCTCTGCTGAAATCAATCCCATAAGGAAAGTAGTTTGCTTTAGCAATAGTATTAAGGAAATTGTTATTTCCATTATCGACCAGTGAGTCTCCAAATACCCATAGAGCTGTAGGTGCACCGTGTACCGATGAAAAGTACATAAGAGGAAGAAGAACAAACAAACATATCATCTTTTCAATTTTAATGTTTATGAATGTGGATTTCATGACGGAATTCATTTTTCCTTATTAGTGTCATCTACTTTGGATTAAATATACAAGATGTAAGAGGGATAACCATATAACTTGTCATGTTACAACACTACATTTTTGTGAAACCGTTTAGCAGAAAATCTTACTTTAGTTATCAAACTTTTCCTATTTTTAATATCTTCTTTTGATTTTATCACGTCTAGTTCATTTAGACTTTCTTTGTTTGTTCACGTCATTAAATTATGGATATACATCTGCAAGGTACATGTGATGATGCTTTTTGTTCAATGTCTGAATGAATTCTGCATGTCCTTTGATTAATTTTTTTTTTTTTTACTTTCTTAAGTTTAGGGTAATTAAAATAATTTCTTTATAATTGTTAAATAAGAAAATACAACATTTATTGAGAATATAATACTCTGTCACTTTATTATCTCCTCGATCAATTATAACATATTGTGACAAATTCCAAATGTGGTTCATCCTACTCTTCCACTTTTGCTACATGAAGAACAAGTAGGTTCGCTTTTATGAATTATGTATGTTATCTAATAATATTTAGATTAATGAGATATGTAATCTTACATTGGTATCAAGAGTCATAGGTTGATTTTCTAGTTATCGATGAAAATATTGAACTATGTATTTTTTTATATGTGATGCAATTAGGTATTATAAATTAGTTTTATGACACATATAAGAAATATTTTGAATTCATAATTAATTTTTTTTGAATCTAAAATTCATTTTTAGAAATATATTTATTTTTGTGGTTGAAAGCGATCTGGAAAACATTTTAGAGATCTAAAAACAAAATAAATAAAAAGTTGAAGTAATTTGGAAAACATTTTAGATTTTAAAAAAAATAAACATTACTTGAACGTTCCAGGTCTGAAAACAAAATAAAAAGAAATTCTCTATTAAATCTAAAAGCATTTTAGATTTAAAAATAAAAAATAAAAAAGTTTTTTTTTCGTTTTATCAAAACAGATATGTAAACTAAATGCAGCCTTCACTTTCAACCCGAAGGTTGCGAGTTCGAGTCACCAAGAGAGCAAAAGGAATGGAAGCTCCTAGAGAGGGTAAAAAAAATTAAAATATGTAAACTAAATGCAGCCTTCACTTTCAACCCGAAGGTTGCGAGTTCGAGTCACCAAGAGAGCAAAAGGAATGGAAGCTCCTAGAGAGGGTAAAAAAAATTAAAATATGTAAACTAAATCGTTACAGATCTGTAAAATAAAAATAAAACAGAGTCTTTTTATTTTATCAGAATTGGTTTGAGAAAAAAATGGTAAAAGAAAATTGGGAGCTTGGTTCTCCTTCCATGACAGCTACAACTCAAAGGAGAAGTAGAAATTTAGGTTTCTTCTCAAATAAATCATATGGGCTTTATGTCTTTCAATTGGTTTGGGCTTCTGTAGCTAATTCTAAAAATAGAAATTGTATAAAATAATAAACTATTAATTAAAATTAAATATTATAACCACAATTTCATTTAATTCTAATTCGTAGCAAATACTTTGTCATTCGCCTCTCTCCCCAGATTTCTCGCCCACCACTCTCCTGATCTCGCTCGCCTCTCTCACTTTATACAAACATAAATGTATAAATTATGTTAGTATTTGTATAAAGCGAGAAAAAACTGTATATATGCATATCTTTTCGTTCGTCTCTCTCCCAGATATCTTGCTCGCCACTCTCCTGATCTCGCTCGTCACTCTCTCTCTCGCCTCTCTCACTTTGTACAAACACAAATGTATTAAATTGTGTTTGTATAAAATGAGAGAAAACTGTATATACAGATACATATCTTTTTATCCTATACACTTATAATTATACAATACAAATCTTCTACTACCCAATTCTCTTTTGCCTTTCTCTCTCTCTTTTTATACAAACACAGATTATACAAAAAAAATAATTCTTATTTGTATACAGATTCCAAATATATACTTATACAATTTATTCTTTTGTATAAGTATACCGAAATATACATATTAATAGTCATAGCAAACATAAAGTTTGCTATGGAGCGCAATTATGCAAACTATAGTTATAGCATACAAATATGATTTTTATGTTTGCTAAACCTAAAATTTACACTTCTAAAAATAGTAAATGATTTGGGTTTTAAGTCCACTATAATTCTATAATTATTTTTTTGAGAAAACTACCTTATTAGACTTACATTCATACCATATATATTAACTCTATCTATATTTTTAAATAATTACATATTTTACCACTAATTAAGAGTTTTCTACCATATATTCTGGAACATACACCTAGATACATGTAATTTTTCTTACAGATACACTAAAATAGGGAGAGACATGAGCGAGATGGGGAGGAAGGAGAGTGAGATAGCCATTTATCTCAGATACATGTGAATAACACTACATGTATGTATTTGTATATATGTAGTGTGATTCACATGTATATGGGATATCAGTGTAACAACCCTCTTAGTTGTTTTATGAATTTTAGCCATTTTTCTAAAATTAAATATTTTAGTAGCTTTTATAAATAATTTATAACTTATAGGAATGAGTGACATAATTTTCAAATTAATTAATAGATTATTTTATTGCTAATAATAATGGGGCAAAAAAAGGCAACAAAGTGGGCAAGGCGCAAAAGAAAACAACATCTTTAATAATAATAAAGAATGTTATAAGCCATATGTCAATTACATAATTACATATGCATTCTGCTTATGTAATTGTTCTCATCTTTTCTCAGATATTATTGTGTGATTATGAATATATTTTGAGAAAATTATATATAATAGCAAACTATTAATTTAAATTAAATGCTATAAATACACTTTGATTTAATTGTACCCTATAGCAAACTATTGCTATTTTCGCCACTCTCCCTGGTGGAATCTCGCTCGCCACTCTCGTTTGGTGGCAGTCTCGCTCACCTCTCTCACTTTTATACAAACACAAATGTATAAAATGTGTTTGTGTTTGTATAAAGCGAGAGGAAATTGTATATATACATATATTTTCATTCCCCTCTCTCCCCTCTCCCAGATCTCTCTTGCCACTCTCTCAAATCTCGCTCGCCACCCTCGCTTCTCTCGCTTATACAAACAGAAACGAAATGTATAAATTGTGTTTCTGTTTGTATAAAGCGAGAGAAAATTGTATATACACATGCAAATACATATATCTTCGTCCTATACACTTATAATTATACAATAAAAATATTTCCCTGCCCAGTTTTCTTTTGCCTTTCTTTGTTTCTCGTTTTATACATACACAGATTATACAATTGATCTTTTGTATACAACTGCTTTATTTTGTATATGTATAGCGAATTATACAACTGCTTTCTTTGTATATGTATAGCGAATTATACAACTGTTTTTTTGTATATATATAGCGAATTTTATATATATATATATATATATATATATATATGTTTGCTATGGAGCGCAATTATGCAGACTTTGCTATAGCATAATGTATAAATTTTGTGTTTGCTATATGTGAAAGTTGCTCATATATTTTTAGGGTAGAAACGTGAAAAAATTAGTTTGAATTAAGAAAAATATAGACCTAGGGTTATTAGAAAAAAAACCTTGATTTGGGGATCGAATAACGATCTGTTTTTGTTGAAATTTGTCATCCAAATTTGTTTTGTCATGGGTGAACATAATTTGAAAGAAAATTTTATATTCGAATTTGGTGGCTCGAAATGACTTTTTGACCCGATTTTTAAGTTGGAACTAAATATAGCAATATGAGTGTCTACGGACTTATTTACTTATGAATAATGCATATTTTATAGATTGGAAACATTCTGAAGCTTTACAAAAGGAAAATGCAAAATCTTGAGGATCGTGATTCGTGTTCGGCATATTTTAAGACTTTCTACACTTCGTTGAGGGACGTTTTCTAATAAAAAATAAAAAAATGGAATAGACAATGGGTAAGGGCAAAAAATGGGGGTCTTATACCAATGGTGTGGTGGGCATTGGTATGAGTACCTATGTTATTCAAGAGAGTTTAGTGCTATAGTATGATCGATTGTTATCTGAAAATGTCAAAACATATGGGCATTAGTTGATGTATTAGTGACTTGGTTTCTTTTATATTATTGTGTTTCTTCATTGAACTTGTATATTTGCGATAATTGAGATGATTATATGTCATAGTGACATTTAAATTATTGAGACGCTTCATCATTCCCTTTTATTGAAATTATATTATGCACATGCATTGACATGAGATTAAGTATGAGTAAAGGTCTGACATGTAGAGATCATCCATGTTGAGATCAATTTATGACTATAAGTTGGGCATGTAGAGATCGTCCATGCTGGAATTGTTTAATTTTCTGATAGTGTGTTGAGATTGTTTACACAGACACGTGGAGATCATCTATGTCAGTATATAGACCTCGTCCCCCATGAGTCACGAACTCTCGATGTATTTATGAGAAGTATCGTGTATATACAGTTGAGAGAAAGTACTTTTCATTTGAGGCATATCATTTCATGGTGTTGCATTACATTGCATCTCATACATCCTTCATTTTTGTTTTATTATGTGTTTCATTAGTGTGCGGATATTTTGTGACATTCGATTATTCTCATTTGATGGAACTTGGCTTATAAGTGTAACGTAAACTTGTAAATAAAAGGATGATTTCTTTATATACTACTGTCACTACTTTTTATTGTCAATCTATGATATATATTGAGTACACGTGATTTCATACTCGTACTACATTTAATGCACTCTTTTGTGGTGAAGATTAGATTCTGAGTACGAGCGCACCTCATGGGGATTTTTGAGTCTGAGTTGGATCACCTTAAAGTTGTGGTGAGCTGCTTGTCTATTCTGCAGACCACACCGTCATTTATCTCTAAATTTATTATATTGTCTTAGTATTCAGATGTAGTATTTCTTAGGTTTAGGCTTGCCATTTGTTTTGGACTTGTATCATATTGTAGAAGCTCATCTACT